ACAAAGGGCTTCTGAGAAACAAACCAATGAGGGTTGCTACAAGTGTGGTAAGACTAATCACATTATCAAGAATTGTCCTCAACGGGAAATTGAGTGGAAGAAAGAAAGGGTTGAACGAAGGAACAGGTTCAACCAAAGAGGAACAAAGGATCAACAAAAGCTATGGTTGCAGCATGGGGAGAAACATCAGATGGGGACTCAGAGGATGAAGCTGGAGATGAACAGGCTCTTATGGCCATCGGAGAATCAGATGATGAACAAGAGGTAACTATTCTTCATCTCAAAGACAAGATTAAATTTCTGTCTAAAGAAAGGCTGGCTGAGCTATTAATAGACTTCATTGATGAGTCTGAGATAATTAACAATAAGAAGGAAGATTTGTCTAGAGAATGTGTGATCCTAAAAGCAAAATGCAAAAGTCTAGAGTCTAGGGCTAATGAGAGTGATAGCAAAAATGCTGAGTTAAAGAACCAGGTTCTTCAACTTGACACTAGTGTCCTAGAACTTAGGTCTGAAAACTTAAAATTGAAACTAGGAACAGGAAAGAAGAAAGCTGATCACACATATCTCACTTTAGAGGAAAACTTAGGAAAAATGAAGGATGAGTTGTATAATAAAGATGAATTGATTAAAGTCCTAAAAGAAGATCTAGGAAAAGTGAAACATGAACTAGACAGAACTTGCAAATGGAACAAGGCTTCTGATGCACTTTCTTGGTTGTAAGAGCACCACAGTAGCAACAAAAGAGGACTTGGCTATGGGACTCAAGCACCAAAGTGGGACCCTAAAAGCAAGTACCTCACACTTCCTGAGAATAAAATATGCACACACTGTGGCAAGACTGGTCATTACAAAAATGAATGTAATGCAAAAGTAAAGGCCAGTAAAAAGAACAAAGCCTTTGTTCAAGAAAAAATAAGCTGCCTGGGTGGGCAAGAAAGAATTTGATTCATCCTTTTTCCTATAGAAAGGGACCCAAATGGGTTTGGGTTCCTAAGACTAACCCCTGATTTCTTTTTGCAGGTCTAAGTGAAAGGAAGCAGCCAAATATGGTATATGGATAGTGGCTGCTCAAAACATATGACTGGGAACAAGGACCAGTTCCTTTCACTTGAGGACTTAAAAGGAGGTAATGTCTCCTTTGGTAATGGAAAGAAAGGTGAGATCATTGGGGTTGGAAAGGTAGGCAAAACAGATTCTCATTCCATAGAGAATGTCTACCTGATAGATGGCTTGAAATATAGCCTAATAAGTGTGTCACAATTGTGTGACAGAGGTAACCTTGTGGCTTTTACCTCCACCAAATGCTTTGTGATTAACCTTACCACTGACAAGATTGTTTTGCAGGGAAAAAGAGTTAACAATATTTACATTGTAGATTTGTCCACTCTTTCAGAAAATGAACTCACTTGTTTAAGTGTGTTGGTTAATGATCCCCTCCTGTGGCACAAAAGACTTGGTCATGCAAGTCTAAATCAGCTTAACAAATTAGTCTCTAAAGACTTGGTGATAGGGTTACCTAATATCAAGTTCAAGGAAGACAAAGTTTGTGAGGCATGTGCAAGGGGGAAGCAGGTAAGATCATCCTTCAAAAGCAAGAAAATGGTAAGCACAACCAAGTCGTTGGAACTGGTCCATATGGATCTCTGTGGTCCAATGAGAACCATGAGCAGAGGTGGAAAGAAATATGTAATGGTGCTTGTTGATGATTATTCTAGATTTACCTGGGTTCTATTTCTAACTTCTAAAGATGAAGCATTTGACATGTTTACTGCATTTGTTAGAAAAACTCAGAAACAATTAGGAAATCAACTTGCATCCATTAGGTCTGATCATGGAACTGAATTTGAAAATTCCAAGTTTGCTGAATTCTGTGATGAAAATGGTATAGATCATAATTTCTCTGCCCCTAGGACTCCTCAACAAAATGGAGTAGTTGAAAGAAAGAATAGGACTCTTGAGGACATGGCTAGGACCATGCTGCTTTCTAGTAAACTGCCTCACAGCTTCTGGGCAGAGGCTGTAAACACTGCATGTTACATAATCAATAGATGCATGACTAGACCTCTTGTAGAGAAGACTCCCTATGAGTTACTTAAAGGGAGAAAACCAAACATATCCCATCTTAGGGCATTTGGTTGTAAGTGCTATGTGCACAATAATGGAAAAGACTCCCTAGGTAAGTTTGATCCCAGAAGTGATGAGGGAGTATTCTTGGGATATTCTTCACATAGCAAAGCATATAAAGTGTTTAACAAAAGAACTTTGTGTGTAGAAGAAAGTGTGCATGTAGTATTTGATGAAACTAACATTCTTTCTGAGAGACAGGAACATGAAGATGAAGCCATTGGATTGGTAAAGGACTTGACTGAAGCATCAGCTCAGGTCAAAGTGGCACCAACAGAAGGAACAGGTGATGGAACAGGTTCTTCCATACAGGGCAACCTGACAGGGGGAACTAATCAAAGAGGAATTGAAATAAATCCCTTAAAGGAACCTGTTCATGACCCTGTTCCTCAGCAACAGAACATGGGAGAAACATCTAGTAGAAACCAGTTGGTTGTGAAACCTCACAAGTATCAAAGTTCTCATCCCATTGAGAACATTATCACTGATCCAACATCTGGAGTCAAAACTAGATCACAATTAAAGAATCTGTGTGCTTTTGATGCATTTTTATCTCTTATTGAACCTAAAAATGTTGTTGAGGCTTTGCAGGATGCAGATTGGGTCAATGCAATGCAAGATGAACTCAATCAATTTGAAAGAAGTCAAGTTTGGCATCTAGTTCCAAGGCCCAAAGACAGATCAGTTATTGGTACAAAATGGGTCTTTAGGAACAAACTTGATGAAGATGGAACTGTTACAAGAAACAAGGCAAGATTGGTGGTCCAAGGTTACAGCCAGGAGGAGGGCATAGACTATGATGAGACTTTTGCACCAGTTGCAAGACTAGAAGCAATCAGACTCCTCATAGCCTTTGCAGCACACATGGAATTCACTCTTCATCAAATGGATGTCAAAAGTGCCTTCCTGAATGGCTACCTGAAAGAAGAAGTGTTTGTGAAACAACCTCCAGGGTTTGAAAGCAAGGAATGTCCTGAGCATGTGTACAAGTTAGACAAGGCTCTCTATGGACTCAAGCAGGCCCCAAGAGCATGGTATGAAAGATTGTCCAAATTCCTGCTGGAGCATGGGTACAAAAGAGGTAAAATTGATAGTACCTTATTCTTAAGGGAAAAAGGTAAGGATCTCCTTGTTGTACAAATATATGTTGATGACATAATCTTTGGGGCCACCACTGATAAGCTAAGTAAGGACTTTGCAAAATTAATGGGGAGTGAGTTTGAAATGAGCATGATGGGTGAGCTTAATTTCTTCTTAGGCTTACAGATCAAACAAAGTCCAAATGGAACCATGATCCACCAGCAGAAGTATGCAAAGGAGCTAATCAAAAAGTTTAAAATGGAAGAATCTAAAGAAATAGACACACCCATTGCAACTGCTACTAAATTAGATGTTGATGAACCTGGTTCATCAGTTGATCAAAAGTTGTATAGGGGTATGATTGGTTCACTTCTGTATCTTACTGCTAGCAGACCTGACATTGTTTTCAGTGTAGGGCTTTGTGCTCGCTTTCAGGAAAATCCTAAAGAGTCTCACCTGACTGCTGTCAAAAGGATACTAAGATACTTGAAAGGCACCACTGATCTGTGTCTTTGGTATCCTAAAGGTAGCAATTTTAATCTAGTAGGATATGCTGATGCTGATTATGCAGGTTTTCTGGTGGATAGGAAGAGCACCTCAGGTATGACACACTTTCTTGGTTCATGTCTTGTGTCATGGGCTACCAAAAAGCAAAACTCAGTGGCCTTATCTACTACTGAAGCTGAGTATGTTGCTGCTGCCTCTTGTTGTGCTCAATTGCTATGGATCAAACAACAGCTGGTAGATTTTGGTATTGAAGTTGGTTGTATTCCAATATTCTGTGAAAACACTAGTGCTATAAGTACGACAAAGAACCCTGTTCATCATAAAAGGACTAAGCACATAGATGTTAGACACCACTTCTTAAGAGATAACTATGAGAAAGGACTGATCTCCATAGAATTCTGTGCTACTGATAAGCAAATTGCTGACATTTTCACTAAAGCACTGAGTAGAGAAAACTTTGAGAGGAACAGGTTGGAATTAGGGATGATTAATATCACCTAATAGGTCCAGTTCAGAATGCACAATGAAAAAAAAAACTTGGTTAGGAGTTCTAACTGTGTGGAAATATCTAGATTAATTCTTACTCAGTTTCATACTTTAAATAGTATACTCCTGTGACATGTGTACATATGATTCACTGATCTCTTACAAAGTTTTTTCTATTATGGCATTTGAGGCATGTTCAAGAGAGTTCTATATGAAGAACCTGGTTCATCAGCATGAGCTCATATGAAAGTTCGGGTATGTTTTCAATGCTTTGCATAATTAGAAAGATTAACAATTCAATCATGAGCAGAAGTCCTATACTTGTCAAATTCCTAGAAAATTCTATCCGTTGAGGCATTGAACCAGTTTCATTCATTTAGAACTCTAAAAATCGTAATTTTTGCCTAATATCTAGGGAAGCCAAAATAATCATTAAAGGACTGGAATTCCAGGCTGATTAGACTTCTAATTGACCTCTGAAAAAGCTGTCGTTACTGCATTATTGACTAATTGTCTTTAAATATACACCACATCTCTTATTCTCTTCTTCATTCTAAAATCGTCAAAAATTATATCTCCTGTTTTAATTGCTCCCCTTCTCCAAGAATCCTCAATCACTTCTCTCTCCAGAAATTCCAAATCGTTTTTCTTCTCAAAAATTCCCAAAACTCCTCCATAAACGAAGAACCATGTCTAACCCACAAGATCATCCTGGCACTCCTCCACCACCATCCCCCTCCAATTCATCCACATCTACTCCTTCTAATGAATCCCCAAAACCTAGGTTTCGAAGGCAGAAAATGTTGGCTCGAAAATCTGTACCATCTGGAGCCTCGAGGAAAGTTTTAAATGAGAGGTTGAAAGCTAGCCAAAAAAGGGAATCCCCGGCTAAAGAGTCTGATTCCAGTTCTGACTCTGAATCATTTATTTCTGCTAGTGAAGGTGAAGAACATGGGTCTTCTGACACTGAGAAAATTCAAGAAACTCCTGAGGTAGGTTCTTCTGAAGTTAAAAACGTAGAAAACATGTTTGTTCTAATTGGACCTGTTAAAGATGTATTGTTGGCTGAATCGAGTAGGAGTGGAGGTAAAAAGAAAGGAAAAGAGCGAGAGAGGGAGGAAGTGGTGAAGAGAGGGGAAAAGGAAAGGGAGAAGTTCTTGCTATATGTGGAGTTGAAGAAGAAAGTGGCTTCAAGTCAGGGGGAAGTGGTTCTGGGGAAGCAGCTAATAGGCTGGTTCATTTGAGCAAACAAAGAGATGAACCTGGTTCATCTGCTGAGGAAACTCTGGCTGGTCTTCTGAAAAAGGTTGGGGCAAGTTATGACCCAAAGAAACGCAAAGCTACCTCACAAAAGTCCCAAAATGTTCCCAAACCAACCAAGAAAAGAAAACCTTCATCCCCAAAATCTACTGCCCCTCCAGTGCCTAACGGAAGAGCTACAAGAAGCGGGGTTCGACAAAGTGAAGCTGACCTACAAAAAGCTCTGGAAGAAAGCAAGAAAAAGAAAATGGAGAAGGGAAAGAGAAAGGTTGCAGAGTCCTCTGAGGCTACTGAAGAAGAGGAGATGGAACTGGTTCATCAAGAAAGAGGAACAACAGTAGAGGTTCCTACACCAAAACCTAAAAAATCCAAGACTTCTACCAAGAAGTCTTCCTGTGAACCTGTGTCTGGTGAACCCTTATTAGCCAAGAGGACAAGGTCTGCTGTGAAAGGTAAGCAAAAGAAAATTGTTGAAGAAGATGAAGAGTGGAGTGGTGAAGAAGAAGAAGAGGAATCTGAGAAGGAGCTGGATAAGTTTGCCATCTTTAGCAGGAGAAAAATTCTGAAAGGAAGACTGTTGAAAGACCTGGAAGAACCAGGGATGAGAAGACTGGTGGATGCTTTAGCTGCACAAGGTTGGAAGGACATGGTCCTTGAAATGGATGGGAGGCTGGCCAGGAATGAATTGATTGAATTTATGGTCAATGCTGCTGTGAAGGATGGAGTAGTCACCAGCCTGGTGAAAGGAGTCAAAGTGAAGTTTGATGCAGTCAAACTGGGTGAGATCCTGGACATAACTACTGAAGGTTATGATGACTATACAAGGCAAAGGTGGCCATGTCTGGATTCTCTCCCTACTACTCTTGAAATTACTAGGAGGTTCTGTGACTCTAGAGATGTGCCTAAAGCCAGATTTGTGCAAAAAAGTGAAATGAGGCCTGAGCACAAGGTCTTGTTTGAATTTGTCAACAAGTGCCTCTTGCCCAGACAGGAGAGAAGGCACAATGCAAATTACATGGACCTGGTTCTTATGGAGTGCTTGGAGAGAGGAATACAGATCAACTGGCCTGCTTTCATTGTCAAATTGCTCGACAGGGTCATCAATGGTTCTAAGGCTCATGCCACTCCATATGGGTTCATATTGACTACTGTGCTGGACAGGCTAAATGTGCCTTTGAAGTGAAAGTACAAGAGGGGGGGGGGTGAATTGTAGCCTTTTTAAATTTCTAGTCGACTACTCTTCAGACCTAGTCGACTTATGCGGAGACAGCCTGTACAGAACTGTTAGCCCTTTTGATTTAAACAAGTGTTAATCACAATAAAACAGTAAAAGAACAGAATATAATATAAGAGCGATAAAGTAAATGACACCAGGAATTTTATACTGGTTCGTAACCAATGTGGTATCCTAATCCAGTCTCCTTGGGTTGCAAGGATGTTATCTCTTGAGCTCTTTGTAATTTGTGTTGAGTACAGCTTGTGTGATTTTCACCGTTCACCACCAACGTTTACAGGGTTGGTTTTTACTCGCTTACCAACAACGACCCTTTGGTTTTCACTCGCTCACCAAAGAAACGAACAATGACACAACCTCTCCGAACACACTGCCTTTCCAATTTTTCTATCTCTCTTCTCTCTTTTATGTACACAGTAAATCTACTAAAGTGAATTACAATGCTTGTTAAGAGTAGAATAAAGAACTTGTAGTTGGATAGACGATTTGTATAGAAATCTGCGTACTTCTTTACAGGAGCATTCTGGTATTTATAGATATTGCTTGGAACTAGCCGTTACTGATGATTCCTTGATTGTTGGCTTTGTCCCTTCTTCAGAAATATTACTACCAGGATATATTTTTCCTTAAGAAATGAGATCAATGGATTCTCTTTGAATTTGGACAGCCTTTTCTTTCCTTTTGAACTCTGACTGAATCTTCCCTTTCTAACATTGAGATATACTATGAATTTGGTCCTTCCTTGACAGCTCCGTATGAATCTGGACGATTGTCGAGTCGTCTTTCAAGCCCGTTGAATTTCTTTCCTTGGTCTTCTACCAGATTATATGGCACAAGATAATTCCTTGATTTCAACAAATTTGTTCCTTATACGAAGAGAGTCATGCATCCTGATATCTTCCGTCAATGGAAAAGTTTTCCATATCTCCTTTCACGTAATGGAATATTTGACCACTTTATATGGATGTGATTCCATATATTGTGTTGTTCCTTATATTCTGAATGGACTTTTCCTTTTGAAGCATAAGTAATTAAGTTCTCGATCTGATGATTGTAATAAGGAAAGGTAGTAAGTAATTCCACCTTCTTTCTTTAATCCTTTTTATAACTTTGGAAATTATGCCTTCCAAGTCTCCAGTGCATAATTCCGTTTCTTTGCTTGAAGATTCTTCTTCAAAATATTCCTCATTTTCCTCCAATAAGTCATGATGATTAAATAAAAATCCCATGATTTACTTTTTCATGATTGTAGTAATTCTTGATTGACTCCATAACCCATGCTTCTTTCCATAAGAACAGTACTTTCCATCTCATACGTAGTAAATAGGCTTCTTTGTGCAGCATTCCTGATGTTCTAAACGTCAATACCACACAAGAGGGGGGTGATTTGTGTGGTACTCAATTTTTCGCTTAAACTGCTTCTGGAAGGACCTGGTTCTTCTAGGTGTACTTATTACTACTGTTTGCGGAATTAAAAGTACATAAAATAAAGAACACAAAGATTTTACGTGGAAAACACCTAGCTCAAAAGGTGAAAAAACCACGACCTACTACTCAGTAGGATTTTCCCAAACTTCCACTAAAATCATTGAGCCAAAACTGCATTTACAAAACTCTTTGTAAACCTAAGGATTAACTCTAATCCCGTTGTGGCAACCAGCCTCTAACTGCTGCGACAACTTCAAGTTAACTCTAACTTGAATACTCAAAGTACCTGATACAATTGCTTCTATGAAAGCTGGAAAGGTACAACTTTAAAACACCTACTACAATTGAACTACAATAAAAGAAAGACACATAAAACTCTTTATGGAGCCGGTTCTTCAATCTGGTTCTTGTAGCTTCTGGTTTGCACACTTGAATCACACACGAACTGCTTGCAAAAACCCTTGCTATTTTGCTCTCAATTCACGTTTAACTTCTGCATTTTTGTGCAACACTTTAATGTGAGAACATCCTGCAATTTATAGAGTTAGTAGATGAAGAAATAACTAGAGTTCTGATGCAACTCTTCCTTGGTGGAAGAGTTCTAGTTGATTCCAACTTCTAACTCCTTCCCTATCTTGAATAGTGTTGTCTTTGATTAAGGAGTCCTTCTCCTTATCAATTATGCAACCTTTTCGATCAGGAGATATTAAATACAGCAAGTTATGCTTATCTCCATCACGTGCAACCCACATGCTCAAATCTGCCCGTTTTTGTGCACCTGAGGGATGGACCACTGGATGGACCTGGTTCATCATGAGTTCCTTTGTCAGTCTTCAAAACTAACCTTTACTTGGGCCAACAAATTCCCCCTTTTTGATGATGACAAACTATGTGCTTTTCATAAGCTTAGCCCTGTTTCAACTCAGCTTAACATCAACACAATGTTAGAAACATTTTTCCTTTTTATCACTTATCATCAAGAACCAGGTACATTAGGTTATAAACATCACTGTTCAAAGTGTAAGCATCACTTGTTTAAAGCACAACCTTTTTCCCCCTTTTGGCATCATCGAAAAGTTGCATAAAAAATGTGAGATAACCAGATTTTAAATCTTACTCATGGCCACTGGGGTTACTTCAAATGCAAACATGGATTAATCATCATAGATCAAACTAAGAATTTCAACCATCAAAGAAATATAAACAAACAGTTAGAGCAAAAACAATGAACTTCATTGATGATTGATATGATTTTACCACAAAGCATAAGAAGAAATAAAAATACTGAAAACATGAGCAAAAGAAACAAAACGTCCCGAACTGGGTCACTGGTTGATCTACACCAGGCTAGAATTTAAGGCTTGGAAGAGCTAGGGGTTGGGTTATTTGCTTGGAAAAGTTTCAGCATGTCTTGAAGAATTCCATCATTCTTCTCCTTTTCCTTTGCAAGTTCAGTTCTGAGAACATCTCTCTCAGATTCTACCTCAACCAATCGTGTCTTCGGCCTTGCTATTTGAATATCCTTTTCCTCACTCTCCTGTACCAAGACTCTGACTTTGCTATTGATAGGTGTCTTTTTAGATGAACCAGGTTCATTAAGAATGACATTGACTTCATAATCGCAAGCAAGCAGAATATTAACCCCACTTCTTCATAGGTACCATGAAATGTGCAAGCACGGTTGTGAGAATGAAACTTTAGGGAATGGCATGAGTTTTGGTGCCATTGATAACTCTATCAGTAGGTCCGCGAGGGTTTCCTGTTAAGATGGAACAGGTTCATCTATAACTATTCCAAGTTGAACCAACCCCTCAACAGCTTCGCCAGACCCACTTCCCCCTGTTTTGCTCACACTCTCTTCTATTTCAGTAAATTCCTCTCCCCAAACAACCATTGCACCAGTTTTTATTATACCAACAGGAGTGGGTGAAGAATCAGCCACTCTTGTCCCCTTTCCCCTCACAGTACTCCTAGCGCCCTTGCTCTTTTTTTTTCAGTTTTACCACCAACTTCTCCAGATTATGTAGTCTCAACACCTGCTATACATCCTACCAGTACAAATCCATTCTCTAAATTTGCAGCAACTTCAGAAATTGTCTCAGGAGTAACTTTAGAATCAGAAGATACCTGTTCAGTTTCGGAATACCTACTTTCTTCCCCCTTAGCAGCAGACTTAAATGAATTTTCAGATTTCTAGGATTTTTCTTCCTACCTGCTTTCAATTGCTTGTTTATTTTTTTGATCTGCTCTCCTTCAGCGACAATCTTATGAGCCATCATCTTACTCTACTTTTCTTCGAGATTTGGTGTGGGTGAAGTCAGTGGTAGAAGGTGTGGAAATGGTTTCCTATGGTGGTGATGAAGGTATCTTCAGTAAGTGTTTTGACAGTATCTAGGCTAGGGGTATGGAAAAAGTAGAGATTAGATTGT